ACGTACAGAATTGATTTGTGTATTTTTGTAATATTTTTTCACGCGTCGAAATTCGCCAGGAAACTGGATTAAGTGCAATTTGTTTATCAACACGGTTTAACTGACTACGCAACCGACTCGCGGTCATACAACCTAGAAAAACAATCGCTCAAAATCCTTCAGGGTCTGCAGTTACTCAAGTCCCACGAGATCTGCAAAGCGCTAAGTCGCTTCTGATTAAATTCCATAAAATTTATCAAATTTTAAGTATTTTTTCGCTAATTGAGTTTTGACTTCTCACTTCAGTCAGTCTTATACAATCCGACGTATTCGTTATAACATCGAAAGCGAAATTATACCTATTATATCATGTCGAAGTTTATGGAGTCTCAGCAATCTAACTGTAATAGTACGGCAAGCGACGGCACCTCGTTGAGAGATAAGTCTGGTGAGATATCCCTCGCATCTAGAACCTATGCTCGCTCTACCTGCGCTTTCAGCCAACAACCAGCAAAGCGTGCAAAAAGCGTAATTAGCGCAAAAAGTGTGAGGTACGAAGACGAGCCTTATGTTGGGTGCGGATATATCCAAATCAAAATAGAACAACTCGAAAAGGAGCTTGCTGATTTAAGGACGCTCGTGAAAAAGACCCTAGGTGACCAGAACGTCCCCATTGTTAGAGTACCAAAAATGAAGAGTAAAATGCAAAATCGCAAGAAAATATCTCTCCCCCCCCCCCGACATTTTCAAACGAGTTGCAACTCAGTAGCCAAAACCGCAAACACCGGTAACAGCAGGACAACGAAATCGAAGCCGCCGATAGGGGCAGACTCGATTCCTTCACAAGATGTCTTAAGCGATATCACAAAACAGTTACCTGTCGCGGAAGCCATCTCGCCTATGCCTCTTGTTGTAAGTGACGGGATTTCTCTTTGGCCTGGAAACAACATACCTGGGTCATCCGGTCTACTGCTGCCCTATTCTTCTTGCAACTACCCCGAGCACGCTACAGAACACTTATCTGAATGCGAAGACATGAACCCGTTGGTAGAGGGGAGAGGGAAACGTCATGACAGCAGTCTGAAGTCACAACCAGTCCTGATGTGTTGCTCGGGACAGTCGGTAGACAGCAAAAGTGTGCGTCCAAGCGACGACTCCGTAAATCGTCCTCGCCCACATGCAGTGAATTCACCGGAAAGACAAAGTAAGGATCGCAAGCAGTGTCTGGTTATTCAGGGTTTGTCGGAATCGGATGCAGTCAGAGCTGAAGACACTGTCTCGAGGACCTTGCTTCTTTTCATGGTCTACTTAAGCAGTTACTCCAGGCAGACATGGAAATAAAGGTTTTGAACGCATTCCAGATATGAAAAGGGGGTGAAGACAGGACAGCAGCACTACCACCTCGCCCTATCAAAATTATGCTGGAGAACAAACAACAAATCAAGTTGACCCTCTCCAAAAAACCAACATCAGAAACACACAAACGGGTTTTTTCAACCGGACTAATCACCAGCGGAACGGCTGAAACGCCGGGAACTCGCCTTCGAATTAAAATCGAGACCAAAGGGTGACGAACACAATCTGGGTATCTTCAAGTGGAAGGTAGTTCGGAAATATATGCCGTTACAGTGGAACCAGCTAGGAATATTAATAACAACGACAGTTACTAAGCTATCACAGAGACCTTCGTGGAACCACCTGCTCAGGTCAACACCCTAAGTAAGCCCTTAACGTCCAGTGATCTGACTGAGGCAACGGATATTAATGGAACCCATCAGGTAACGGAAGAGCCCAGAGAAAATGGCGTCCGAGATAACGGGGTAATGCTCCAAACAATGACAAATACAACCGGAAATTCGGCTGGTGCAAAACTGAGGTGCTAGTACACGTATGCCCAAAGCCTCACATCGAAACTGGACGAGCTGAAACTTTGCCTTCCCGAGCTGTCACCAAATGTTTTAGCAGTTATTTAGTTGACCATCAAGGCTACCGTTTCCCCGTCTCTCGATGTACTCACTGTCTACCGACCACCTAGGACAGACCAAATCACCGACACTCAACTCTTGGAGCAGTTGGAGAAATTTTCCAGTCGACCTAACATCATGATCATGAGCGACTTCAACGCACCAGGAACAAACTGGAACACCCTCCAAGCGTCAGGTCCAAAATCGGCATTCGATTACCGTCTACTGAACTAAACATTAAAGGCGTCCTTCACACAACATGTAATATTCCAAACGAGAACACGTGAAGGACAAAGGGTAAACTGCCTGGATCTGGTTTTTACGAAAACATTAGACAGCATAGACGAGATTACCTTCATGCCGCCCCCTGGCCGAAGTGACCATGTAGTGCTTCAGTTCAGTTCAGTTTATTGAGGGAAATAGGCGTAAGCCTTTGAGTACCCTATTTGCAACGTAAAAAATATGTGGTATACAGATAAATGTTTTGGGTTGAAATAATTTAAAAAACGCCCATAGTGGTAAGACAAAGTGAGAACGATTTACAGGGGGTGAACTCTACTCCTCATCGCTCTTGGTCATTTCGGAACGAAAACATGTCAAGATTCTCTTTAAAACTTTGTTTAGATGGTGACATCACAATATCTGCGGGAAGGGCATTCCATGGCTTGACCACTCGAACAGAGAAGGAGAACTTCTGCACGTCCAGCCTTGCCTGCTGATTGCGCAGATTTAACGGGTGGCCTCGGAGGTTGGTAGTGGTTCTTGATGTCAAATCGCCATTCCGACCCCACGTGGTCTGCTGACGATCGCAGCGAAATCCTCTGCCTTAGCCATTTACTAATAGTCTGGTCGGTCGGCGCAGACTTCTCAAGGTCGCCTTCAACCCTCTATGCTTCGATGACCTCCCTAACGTTTAATGCCCTCTGCTCGGCTGGACTTTAAGCGGACTGTGACCGATACCGTCTAGACTCCACTGTCTCGCCACTTCGAGATGGATGGCCTCATCCGGTTTAGGAATTCTGCCTTGACGATTTTCGTTATGAATTCCCTTATCCAATACCATATGCAGGCCAGTCCTGTTCGAGCTGCATATTTAACCTTCGTGAGCGGCAGATTTTTTCTCATTAAAAGCTATCCAATTCATATTTATTTTTATCTTTTTCATAAGGAGTTTTTTCACTGCTTGCTGACGTTTTTAGCATATGACTGTCCATTCTGCAACCGAGAAGCGAATACTGTACTAAATCTTGTTCTAAAACCTACTTGAAAATATATTTTTACTTGCTTTTAAAGTGCTCTCAAGGGTATTCAATCAAACCATTTATTTATTTACTTATTCGTCCAGGGCACGCAAATTCCTGCATTATTCCCTAGAGTCCACCGCGATTCACTGTATGTCCTCTCATTCCCAGCTACAAGCTGGTGGCGTAGGGGATGATCCGCCGTTCCTAGCACTTCCACTGAATTTGGCAGGCTCAGAAGATCAGTTCGGCTGTTCCGCGGTCTCGTAAAAGTTAACGAAGACTACCCGTAAGAATTCTTTGTTTTAGGCGGCCTTGTTGTTGGCCGCAAATTCTCCCACACTTCCTGGGAAGAATAACAATTGTTACGGATTGTTATCAGACCACAGAGCAGCCTTACTTTTGAAAAATACTGAATAAGTTTTGTCACGATATTTCACCATTGCTTTGGCCTTCTGCCTCTCAGTTTGGCGTACCTGGTCTAGCTCACTGATTTATCACTTTAGTCAGTTCATTCTTCCCTAACACAGAACAACAATTAATCTCCGTTTCCAGGCATATTTTAACTTTTTATTTATAACATTAAGGCAATCAGTCGTTAGGTGAATTCGAGAGCATAATTATTCTATCAAGTAATCCGAAAATACTGCTTGGACTATGACGAATGCAGAATCTCAATACGCAGCGCATAGAACACACACACCGTAACGATGCATGCGTAAGACAGAAGTAAGTGTATGTGAGACGTCGGTAGAGACTTGGGCACTTCAGTTCCGAGTTAAAACCTCGACACATGGCCTTTAAACGCCCAGTGGATAGGCATACATCGTACTGCTTTTATGTCTTCAGGATTCTGTCGGGAGAGGGGTAAAATGGCGCCGGAAGAAGCTAATCAATAGGCTTGGACGCAATCCTTCGTGAATGAGCTTTATCCTTAAGGCTTTTTATTATTTTTGTATGAGACTTATGTAGGACATAGTGAGTATGGACTTTTTTGTATCTTTTTCCGAGGTGCATGCAGCATTTGTTTAAATAATTCACTTTGAGGTCATGCGTTCGCTGCGTGCACTGTAGGCCGTCCTGACCGCCTTGATGGGTTGCCGACTGGGTTTCTTCGCGCCGGTATGTTTTGTACGTTGTTTGGACCGTTTATGTATTTTTGTCTGGAATTATGTAGACGGCAGTCACTAAAGGCTTCTGTACAGTGCGGGACTTTCAATTGACAGTCATGCATATGCAAGCCCTAGGGCCCCTGCTAGCATTTTGTCGCCTGAATCTAGCAATTTGCTAGCTCATTTGGATTTGCGAGCCAGTGCAACGCTAGTAATCTGATTGGCTTACGCAGCGTAGCCTGCACGAGAAAATGAGCCATTTTGCTTCTACTGGAGAAGGGGGGGGGGGTTCGGAACCGCTTAAGACGAGGCAGCGTTCCCGCACGCACGTCTGCACGACTGCAGGAAG